ATGGCATAATTTGATTTAAGTTGCAGGGAGGCAAATTGTAATTGAATGCTAGAAAAAAAGTTCTAACAGTATGAGTGGTTTGGCACTTTGCAAACTTAAAGCACACTAAAATGCGAAAGAACATCTCATGAAACTAAAATACAAAAACATCTCCGGTATCAAACTCTACATAGGAAGATAAAATCCCAACCGAAACCAGCAGCCAGATGTCACCACAGAAGCTTGTCTGAACCTTATAGAAGGTGAATGACAAAATAACCAGGTGCATTTTGGGGGGCACAATGTTCCAAAGTGTTGGGACGACCACCGACAAAGCTTTTAAAGAATCATGACACCCTGTCACCCAAGTTTTTTGCAAGCCACCAGAAATGTCCAGAGTCATAGTGTGAGAACTTATGCGTTACAGCAACTAACCCTTTGTAAGTTCTATCATGTGAGGGTCCCACTCATTTGTGTGCATGTTTGAATGTGGATTTGTGTAGATGTGAAAAATAATTGATTGGGGGCCTTGGTTTCTCTTGCACAGGAGCAGGTCTCTTCTGGCTGGAAACCAAGATGGGGTGAAAGGTATTGATCTGTGCAGCATATTTTATATCACATTGTGCTGTATTGTATTGCATAGGACTCTCCAGAGGAAAGAGGGGTTGTTTTTTGGGGAGGGGGGAAAGCACTACGCAAAGATGAAAATTTCATCTATTGTAAATGAAACAGAAAAGGTTTTACAGGCTAGGTCTAAACAATAAGCCCAAGACTGATTTCATGATGTGTGTCTGAGAATGAGATGGTTGCACAATAAAATCAACCACTACACACATTTTTGTCAAATCATGAATACAGTAATGGCACCTTTGTGTCATGATACCAAAATCCCTGTGTTATAAACATGGTGTTTATCTCCTTTTGATCTAGAGCAGTGTTTCTCAAACTTGGCTGCTTGAAAGTGAGTGGACTTCAACTCCCAGCATTCCCCAGGCAGCCATGCTGGGGAATTCTGGGAGTTGAAGTCCACACATCTTCAAGTGGCCAAGTCTGAGAAACACTGCTCTAGAGCTTTTAATTGTCAACTTGATAGAGTGAAGTTTAACTTCTGTTTCTTTGCTAGCGAGGAATTTATTTTCCAGGATGGGGGGAAGCAGGGGAGAGAGAAGGATTCTTGGTGTGAGCCTTCCATTTTTTGTTGCTTGTACAAAACCACATTTGTCAAAATCCTGTTACTCCTTCGGGTGAAATGGATTTCTATGAAGGAGAAAGGAAAAAGAAATGGTCAGATTTTGCTGAGTCAATAGGAAAGGCATCACGTGTGTTTAAACATGTTTAAATATATGTATGTATTGTCATTTTTAAGCATAAATGAGTCATGAGTTCCTTTACCATATATAAATTTGGCTCACAGACGCTCTGCGTGAAATATAATAATGCTGCTAATAATAATAATTAAAACTAGATTTGCATTATTTTTGTGCATATAGGTAGAATATGCAGACATGACGTAAATGTTTATTTCTCTCTTTAGTAAATTCACTTCCTTCTCTTTGGTAGTTGTAAGGGGACACACTGAATGATTGAGCGCATAAGGCACCTATGAGTTTTCTGAGTTGAAAAAGAATCTAACCATCGTTCCTGCAAACTGCTTTGTTAATAAATTACACCAAAGAAGCAGTAGTCTGTTTTTCTTTCTGCATCATATTTCTTTTTCATTTGATTGTCCTTTGATCACCTCAACCAGTTCTGGCTCAATGATTCTGTACAAACGTGTTAATCTTGCTTTCCTCAGATTGGTGCTTTCTAGATGGGAGGGAGGTTAAAGTTTTCCCATTTTCCAGCCAACCGACTGAGAATTTTGGAAGATAGACTCCCTCCACATCTGGAGGATATTAGGCCAGGGAACGCTACATTGACCCAACATAGCTGAGAAGTGGATTCACACAGTGTGCTAAGCTGAGGGTTTATCCAAGGATGATAGTGTTTTGTGAATTTGGACAACTTCCAGATGTGTGGCGTTCAAATCCCAGAGTTCTCAGCAATGGCCATGCTGGCTGGGAAATTGAGGTCCATGCATCTGGGAATTGCCTAAGTTGGGAAAACAGAACAATTGTATACTTAGTCAACCACAGTGGCTTTGTTAACCATTAGTAATATTGTATTTGACTTGTCTAGTGGAGAATATCAACCCAACATATGTTATTACTACGAGTGATACATTGCCTAATGTTCTGAGGAGTGGGCAGATGCCATGTATATTTTCCTTTCTTTTATATTCCAGATTGAGGCTCATAATTAGTCCTGAGACTGAATAATGTGACAGTTTGATGCAATGACATGGTTCGTCAAGTCCTTTAGACTGACGGGAAACGCTAGTCAGTCTGTAGAGTGGGCTACTGGGGTTGAAAAATCAAAAAGAAAGATGGCTGAATAGGTAGTCCTTGCTTAATGACCACAACTGGGACTGGAATTCAGGTCACTAAGTGATGCAGTCATTAAGTGAATCATCACATGATCGGACCCAATTTTATGACCTTTTTGCGGCAGTCATTAAGTGAATCATGTGGTTCCCCATTGATTTTGCTTGCCAGAAGCCATCTGGGTTGGTTGCAAATGGGAATCACGTGACCCTGAGAAACTGCAACTGTTGTAAGTGTGAGCTGATTGCCAAACACCTGGATCACGATCACGTGACTGTGGAGGCGCTGCGACAGCTGTAACTTTGGGCACCAGTCCTAAGTCCCTTTTTTTAGCACCCTCATAACTTTGAATGGTTGCTAAACAAACGGTCATTAAGCAAGGATTACCTGTAATCACTTTAGGAATGGGGTCCAGTGTACAATGTCCTTTAAAAGATCTGTGGTGTCAGTAGGACGGCTGCTGCTCTGGGGGTGGGAAGTGAAGGGCAACCCCCAGAAGTACTCATTTAGCTGCGTGATCCTGATCTGGGAACCATTGTAACAGTTGTTCAGCTCCTTTTATCAAAGGTAAAGCATAACTTACACAGTGAATTGACTGTGTTATAATTCTAGCACATTAAAAGGCACATTAGGAGTTAACATTTACCTTCTTTAACCCAAGTTTCATGAAGGCATTGTTTACTGATGTATCCATGTGCTCAGGATAGTCAGGAAGATAAAGCCCTTTCTGATTCAATGGGATGGATCTCTCAGAACATCTTCTGGGGGCTGGCTGGTTGAAGGAGAAGTTACTAAAAAGGGGGTATTTTCCCCCTCAATAACAGTATGGGAGGACCATCATGGTCACGTTTCCCCAAAATGGTTTGGACTCAGAGTAAGGAGACCAGGATTTAAACTATCAACATCCACATTGGCTCACAAATCTCATTGACTGCATCACACGGAATGCCAAGAAAGATCTTTTGGGTGGGAGAGAAGTCAACACACTTGGAATTTTGAGAGCATGGCTCCATGGAAGATGTGGCCAGTCACAACGCATGCATTTATCAGAGGGGTAGAATACAACTAGGAATTAACATCATCTTATTGTTGAGGGGGGAAGAGCAAATGAGACATTTCTAAGCAAAAAGCATAGAGCCGAACCTACCCATGGTTTTTGTAGTCTAAGGATGTGAGTGGGCCTCACTCAGACCCAGAGAAGGCCTAAGTGTAAATCAGGCAAACCCTTTATTTTTTAAAAAAAAAGTAATTTAAAAAAAAAAAATCAGGTAAAGAGCTTGTGGCCACCAGGTTGCAAGTCCTTATTTTAAATGGAAACTGATTAAGCTGTAGCAGAAAGCTTCAGACATCATGCTAAGACAAAAGCAAAGAGCCCTTTTCAGCCTTAGCATGATGTATGAATGAGGTCACTGGGTGTTTGGGAATGATCTCAGCCTCCCTCACAGGGTTGTTAGAAGACTCAAAATCAGTTACACCATCATGAAGTCCTCTAACCACCAGGAGTAGGGAAATAATTGGTCTTTCTATTTGCTCACAGGGGGTGTCACTTACATTTTTCTTTCCACCCCTTAACAAAACCTTAAGAATGCTGCAGGTAATTTGTAACAAGTGATGACAGGTCACTTCTGAGGACAGAAAGAGTTAAAATTCTGGAAGCAGAAACCAGAAACCAGCCAAAGGACCAAGCTGGTCAGGGCCTTAGAAAATCGATGCAAAGTACATTGCTGATGCAAATCCTTTTGACAAAAGAGCACTTAAAGTTTATTTTCACTTTTGTTTCAACAGTTCACGACCGGGGAGACCCCCCAAGCGCTCTCTGGGGGTTGCGATACAAGAGAACACGCGCCTGCTTCCCCACGGAGTCCCGGGCCTCTTATCACCAGGGCTTATCTCCCCAACAGGTAATAAAATCCTTTGGATGATTCGCTCCCTCGCTTCATACTGTGCAGCAGTTGAAATAAACTAATATTGATCTAACTGCCTTGTCCTTCAGGGCTTTTTCAAGCTTTACCAGAGGTTACATTATTGGATTTCTTGAGCATTCATGAAACCTCTCCCCAGCCCCTCACCCCACGTGGCGTTGCTGAGCTGACTAAAACCTAATGGATTTGCAATTTAGTTCTTCATTAATCGTAATTTCCTTAAAGGGAAAGTGCCATTAGATACTTGGTCATATGATATGGGGAAAGGTTGATCTCAGAGCCTGGAAGACTATAAGGGTACTCTCTCAGAAGTGTGGTGTCCAAGGAAATTTTTTTTTCCTCTGTCCTCTTGTTTTCTTCCTACTCGGAAGCTATCATAGGAACCAATGAAGAGGAGGTAAAGAGCACTTCATAGTTGTGAGAAACTTGAATGGCATTTTGCACCAGGAGTGCAAAGTGGTAAGAGTGTTGTGAAAACCTGGGCAGTGTAGATTGCAGGGGGTTGTCCATCTTGATAGACCTCTTCTTTGATTACAGAATGGAGAGTTTGGTGTGGTGTAGGGTAAGGATTATTCAGGGCCAATCCACTGAACATTGCTGTTAGCAGCAAAGACAAAGTTACTGGTGCTTCCCATTTCATATATAAAAGCTGACTAAACTGGCAATTTAAGCTTTCTTAGCAGTGGGGCAGCGTCCTCTGCTGTGCATGAATGCTCCCTTTGGAAGTACAAGCTCGGCCATCGGATGCTCTGTTCTCTCCTCTAATACCTTGCTACCATCTTTCAGCATCTGCTGCCTGAGGTAGTTTGTCTAATGGTAGGACCAGGACTGTCAATACATCTGCCAACTGAGTCACAAGTTGCCTGCAACTTGGATCTGTTGCAACACAAACTCTCCTGTTGTCACCTTGGCGTGTGGCGGTTGTGGCAGTTCCCAATATTGGGCACATGCCTTGAAATGTTACCCTAAGAACCTCAGTTTATCTTCCAAAATGGATTCAGTCAGTACCTCCGACATGCAGACTGTCCCAGAGATCACAAAAGCAGTTGTATATTGGACCCAAATAGCATTGCTTTGAGAGAGGCAAAACCAGTGCAGTGTGCAAATCAGTTGGACATGTAAATAAAACTGCTTCCGAGTCCCATCATCTTGTTTACCTCTGTAGTATGTTGGCTAAGGTTTGGACTTAAGACAGAAGACATAAGACTCCCTCCTTCTGTTTCCCCTACAACAACAACCCTGTGAAATGGGTTGGGCTGAGGTAGAGCGAGTGGCCCAAGGTCATCTAGGCAGCTTCCGTCCCTAAGGGAGGACCCAAGTCCAGCACCTTAACCACAACACCAAACTCTCTTTTTTCTCCATGGATGGAACCCTGCTTTGGCCTGTGTTAACTCTTTTCCTCCTCCTTACTTGAGAAGAAGGGCGCTTGGTGAATATGAGCAATATCAGTGAATCTTAACTAACCAAAATTGCTATGATGTCCATCAAAAGAAAATAACACACACACACACACACACGGGCTGTTTTGGACTATTCCATGCCTGGATGTCTGCTGTCAAAGGCAGGTGAGCAAGCCCAAAGGAAACAGTGGTGACTTAGGATGACTGATTATGAATCAGGCTTCACAGCAACTCCAATTGCATACTGACATGTTCACATGTACAGTATTCCAAGATGCAGATGATATGCATTTTGTCACTCTGCTGAAACCCTTGAATACCAAAATAAACCATAGTGGGGACACCTCAGAGGATTCATTTTGCAAAACTGTAGCCTGGGCCATTAACAATAGCCTGGCGTTCCGCAGTTCTACCAAAGCAGCTTTTCCTTGGCATACAGATGAAATAGTAAGAAGCACAATGCATCTTTCATTTCCGTGCTGTCTTCATCTTCAAAAGCCTCCACACTTCACTGTGGGAAACATCACTGTTAACATTGATGTTTCCCACAACAGACGCAAAAAGCATGGCCAATGTATGCGTGTCAACAATGAATCTCGAAACACCCTTGTAAATGCATGAAGCAGCGTTGATTTTGAAAAGAACCTTCGCATGGCAGTTACAAGGTATCAGTCATCCGTCTCTTGTTCTGCTTCTCTCTCCGCCGCTCTCACACACATATGCGGAGATTCAGAATCACTCCTATTAAATGTGGAGGCCAATCATAGCTCTTCAGAAGCTCTTGCTTTGCTTCCCTCCTGTCTAAAGAATGGAAACAGTTACAGATTGTTTTCAAAGACGATTTTGTGGTGAACTGCTGTAATGTACAGGTAGTCCCCAATTTAAGAACAAGTTCTGTTCCTAAGGTCTGTCCGTAAGTCGAATTTGTACATAAGCCGGAACAGTATTATTGTATAACACTGTAGAAGTAGTATTGTGTAATAAACTCAAACTATTGTGTATTTAACTTGAATCATTGTGTATTTAACTTGAATTTTGCTAAAATAGGCTCTGTTCTTAACTATGGGTTGTCCTTAAACCAGACGTTCTTAACCTGGGGACTACCTGTATAAAGCTAATAAATTAATATCATTAAGTTACAAGCAGCATCAATGTTGCTCAATTCCACAAGTCCAGATTTTTTATTCCTTCCTCTTGGCTTTGCCACCCTGGCTCTTCCCCTGTGGCAAAGGATCATTGTTACCCGTGCACTGTCACTGTGATAAATGGCACATCCCTCAGTACCCTCCATTCCATCTGCCATGCCCTCGGACTAAGCCGAAATGAGAAGGATCTTGTACTTTACAGCAAATAAACTTCCAAGTAGCACCTTGCAGGGCTTGTAGAAAAACATGTTTTTTTTTCCAGTGCATTTATTAAAATTATTCTCCGTTAATGAAAACATCACGAGTATAATATCTGTGTCTGCAAACTGCCATTATGACATTGGTCCATTAAAGCTAAATTGGAGAGGGCAAATTTCAGGTGATGGCCCTGCAAGTTAAGGATGCAACTTACACTCTTTAAGGTACATTTTGGTTGGATGTTTTATTTGAAAACATCTCCTTTCTCCCAAGTCCTTAATCTCTGGTATCAGGATATTCATTGCTCTGATGGAATTCTCTGAGCCTGGGAAAGGAAATGGGTGTTTTTGGAATAGGGTAGAACAAGAATAGGTAGATGCTTTGTGGTATCAAGTGTATGATCTTCCCCATTAAACCAAGGCTCAGGTAGAAAGAGGATCAAAAGCAACAGTGAGGACCTGCCTTAATGTTTTCACTGATCAATGAGGGCCAACAGACACACATCCAGTTTCCATGATTCTGTATCTTCTCTTCTGTTGTCTTGCAATAAACCTGATGACTCAGAATCTTGGCACCACGGCTTTGAGCTGTTCTAAATGATTTAATATCTTTTGGGTTCTTTACCTTTTCATAATAATGTAAGGCAGGCTTTGCATTTTGAAATGCAGATACCCGTTAGCGTGTTTTGCTTCATTTTGTTTTTTTGCAGATATTGATTTGCTTCAGGGTTGGGGGGCTGAAGTAAATCAATATTTGAGGGGTGGGGGGGGCACACTACAGTCTTGACCTTCTAAAGAGATTCAGGAGGCCATCTAGTGACACTGATGACACCAGAAAGATGGATTGAATATGTTTGGTCTATTTTTGGAAGTTTAAAGGATGGGGACAGGAATAGGAGAACTCCTGGAGGTGTGCCAGTCTCATTCCCACTGAGAAAAGCACCCCAAACCTGAAAACAGACTGGAGCAATGCTACCAAAATGGGTTATTTTTTTTTCACTGAATTTTGCAGCACAATCTTAGGATGTGATAGAGCTACAAATGAGGTACATGCTATAGTGTGGAACAGTGAATCTCTCTCACCAACTCTCAATGATGAAAAAGATTAGTAAGAGAAGTATTCTCAGGTAGGATAAATCAGTCTGCTTTCCTGCCTGTGATATTTTCACGTGTTTTTTTAAAGCCCATTCCATCTTATTTCTCCAGGAATCTGCAGTTTTAAAGAATCTGCATGAAGAAGATAGATGTTCTCTCCCAAACTCTCTCTAAATAAAAATGTGGTCACCAAGAATCAACACCAACTTGATGACATTTAATTGATTAATAAATATAAAAATGCAGATTTTAACTGCCCTCCTTTAAGATGATTAAAAAATTAGGAAAAATCTGAGGAATAATATTTGATCTGTACCTTAATCCAGGACAGAAGCACCAAATCAGTTTGTGCTGGAATATGCAAATAACAAATTTTAGTGTCAGCTTTGGCTCATCTGCAGAAGGATGATTGTAATAGTGACTTCTTTTGTGGGACATTTATTAGGATTACAACCAGATAATACATGAGAAATATGTACAGACTTGAGAGTATTATACAAATATTAAAAAGGTTATATGCAACTTGAGTATCAGATGCTGGGGAGCAACTATGGAATAGGGTTATTAACTTTACTGTTAAGAGACTAGTGGGTTTTTATTGGCTACCATGACACTCCCCACCCCCAAGGCCTTGGTCTTTGCGTTAAGCAATGGAAGAATCTAATAAGAACTTTTCAAAGGGAGGTCTTGTGTCTCTAATTCATTACTCTTCTTGGCAAGGATCTGGCCTTGTTTTCGGTTTTAAAAGCCTGCTGGGGTTCACCATCTTTCCAGACACTCAAATCTGAGTCTATAAAATCTAGTAAGGGAACTAGCTTACCACAATATATATTCTGGCTGATTTGTGTAGATTTTCTACAGTTGTCTTGAGCGCTACCCTTATGGAGAAACATTCGAGCCATCAGGTCTCACTAGGAGCTCTCCATGGTCCTGTTTCCTGCTACTTTCTTTGCCATATGCTTCTAACTTACTTTGGTTTAAGATACCCACTGTTGCCTTCACCTAAGAGCCATGCCATTATCTTGCCTGCTATAACCAAGTTTCCTGGCAAGGATATTGATTTAGGGTGAAAAGAATGTCGATCATTGCTTATTGGCAGCAGTTAACCAGTAAAGTTTCCACAGTTGAAGATTTTTCTAGTT